GGATGTGCTATCCTCCACGAGGATAAGAGCAGCTCCTCAGTGGTCAGGGTAGAAGTCATGTTCTGCCAAACCAGCGCTGAGCCTGATCCAGGAGCTGCTCCATGCACACCCAGCCAGCAGAATAGGCTGACAGCCACCCTCAAATAATGAAACTCAGTAGCCAAAACACTTAGTCTAGGATTGGGCTGATCTTTGATCCCTGTGCATTGATCTTTTCTCCCAAACAAGTGTCCCTGCCTCTGCATCACTGTGTCTTTCATAGTGTGCAGAGGACGGGTCTCTGCTTCAGCCCTCTGCAGTGGTGGAAGATACCCAGCACTGAGACCTGGTCCCATCTTTCCCTGACAACTCAGCAGCAGAGTACAGGGACGCAGTAACATGTTCAGGCCATGCTCCTCCTGCTTCATAAACATGCCTTTTCTGGCTTTCAAGGTGAGGACTTGTTGTTTACCTGCCAAGAACGACCAATATTTTAACCTCATACATCTTGAAAGAAAGCCCTGTGGTTAAAGAAAAAATGCTTAGTTTCATTTTTAAAAATCAAGTGGGTTTATTTCCCTTCATGAAGCGACATCAGATATGAATTTGCTCCCTGGCTTTTACCTTGTTACTGATTCAAAATGAAATGTGACTACATAATACCCTTCTTCATAAAAAAAAAAAAAAAAAAAAAAGCTTTAAAAATAATAAGGTGATAAAATAATGGCATTCCCCTGAAATATTTTGATTTTTTTTTTCTGCAGATAAACTTAAGGGGTTTTTCACCTGCCTTTGGTTTTCCTTATGCTCTGTTCCTGTTTATCTCTGCTCTTCCATTATTTGCCTCAGCAACCAAGACAATTAATCCTCTTCTACAATGTGCACAAAGATGAAGGAATGCAATATTATCTCTTTCTGCACTGCTTTAATTTCAGTGACAGCTTTGTCACTTCACCAGTTGCAGGGTTTCATGCCTGTGTTTCCCACCTTGTAATTGGCATATTTCTCAGGGTGCCACCTGCCATTCAGAGGCAGTGAAGCTTTTGAAATCCCCAGCCTTCTCCCAGATGACAGATTTCACCTGACTGCATGGTTCTGACTGATGGGATGGGTTTGTGAATGGTGCGGACGTGGTGAAGTCACACGGTACCAGCTGCAGAGACCAGTTCCCAAGCCAGCCTCAGCCCCTGCTACTCTTCCCAGGACCCTGTTTGCATACAGCCCTCTCCCTACAACAAGTCCCACAGCAGTCAGGAGTGGCTGTCCAGAGCAATGCCACAGAGCTGAAGTGGAGAGTTGGCCTCAAGAAGATGGACCTGAGCCTTGAATAAGAAATGCTGGTTTTAAAATGTGTTAGCCCAAATAACGCGCAAGGAAACGTGCTGTTTTGTGTAAGTGCTTGGCTTTTCAAAGCCGGTCTGCCTCCCTCTCCAGTGTGCAGGATCAGAAATGCAGGTACAGAAACAGCTGTGGCCTGAAACCTTTACATGCCTTTTGACAACAAGGAAATAAAACTCAGTAAGTTAAACTCCTAGGCATGAGAGAGCTGGAACACTGCATTTGGCTGTAATGGGAGTAAGTTTTCACATGGGGTGTGTAAGGACATTTTCAATATGATTTTCATCCAGATGTTGCAGACCAAGGTACCAAACATAAATAAAAAGTTATTCAAAGTACCCCTGCAAGCTAAGCGTGCTAAGGGGGGCATCCAGAACATAAACAATGAAGATACGTATTTATACTTGCTGAAGCAATATGGGATTTGAGAAAAGGCTCCTGCCCCATGGGTTCTGATTTGGGCTCATTTATGCTGCTGTAATACACTTTTCATAATAAAACATATGTAACGGTGCCCGTTACATAATAAAACAGTGGGATTACTGGTGATTTACAATCTTGTTATGTCAATATCGGGACTGAGAAGTTTCACATGTAGCACTCCTGCAGCCAGTGGCTACAGGCCTTTGTGGGTTAGGATTTCATATTCAGTCTTACACACTGTACTGATGGACATCTTACTTACGTGCAAGGAAACGTTTTGCCATTGATGTGCAAGAAGGCAGTTCAGCTTGGGAAATGTAAAGATTCCAGCTGCTATGCACCGGAAGATCTGCTTTAGTAACAACTCTCCACCAGATGCAAAGAGGTTCTTATCAGGATGTAGATCACATAGAAGCACATCTGACTTGAATATCATGTTAAACTGAAGTTATATACTAGAAATAATATTTTTACAGTAGGTCTTGTGTTTGTTTCTGATTTTACATTCAGGCAGAATACCACTGGTTGCATTAGGGGCTAAATAAATCTCTCAGTTATAAACAACAAACCTAAATTGTTGTGGAGCATGAAACAATTCTCTTTGGATCCCCCTGATGCTGTTGAGCAAGCTGTTCCTTTTTGTCGTGCTATTATTAGCTGGGAATAATAGAATAGTTAGGGTTGGAAAGTACCTTAAGGTCATCAAGTTCCAAGGCCCCTGCCATGGGCAGGGACACCTCGCACTAAACCACATCACCCAAGGCCTCGTCCAACCTGGCCTTGAACACTGCCAGGGATGGAGCATTCACAACCCCGCTGGGCAACCCATTCCAGTGCCTCACCACCGTAACAGGAAAGAATTTCCTCCTTATATCCAATCTAAACTTCACCTGTTTAAGTTTTTACCCCCTATCCTATCACTACAGTCCCTAATGAAGAGTCCCCCTCAGCATTCTTCATTGATTGATGGTTAACTGAGTTTGTGTAGCCCATAGCTCCACACAGACTGGTTTGTGGTGGAAGGAACCTTAAAGCTCATCCAGTTCCAAACCCCTTTCACAGGCAGGGACACCTTCCACTAGACCAGGTTGCTCCAAGCCCCATCCAGCCTGATCTTGAACACTGCCAGGGATGAGGCAGCCACAGCTTCTCTGAGCAAGCTGTGCCAGGGCCTCAGCACCCTCACAGGGAAGAACTTCTGCCTAAGAGCTCATCTCAATCTCCTCTCTTGTCAGGTTAAAGCCTTTCCCCCTTGTCAGGTCCCTAAAGGCCCTTGCCCAGAGCCCCTCTTCAACTTTCTTGTAGCCTCTTTAAGCACTGGCAGCTGCTCTAAGGTCTCCTGGAGCCTCCTCTTTTCCAGGTTGACAACCCCAATTCACCCAGGTCCTCACCACCCCCACAAGGAAGAACTTCTTCCTGAGATCCATCTCAATATTCCTTCTGTCAACTTAAAGCCATTCCCCTTGTCCTATCAGTATATGCCCTTGTCAAAAGTCCCTCATTTAGAAAAGCGTATGAAGATTTTCAAAACACTCTTTAGGATGTAGATGTTCTAGCCACTATTTAAGAGTTGGCAATATAAATTGTCATTATATATACATGGCTCTCATTCAATTTCTGTATGCAGATGATGTTTCTGCACAGTTGCTTAATACAAGATGCAAAATTCAAGCCAAGTTGCAGTCGCAGCCATGAGGAATAAAAAGGCAAAAAGCCCTTTATGTTGTGAGTAGAACAGCAATGGTAAAATGGACAGAGGAAAAACCTTTGTGGACCCAGCAATTGCTTGGTGAGACAACCACATTTTAACAAAGCCTTAGAAGCATAGCTAAAAATGGAATGGAGGGACCTTTAAGGCATCTCTCCAGGAAAGGGAAGAAAATACATTTTTGGCAGTGAATGCTGAGAATATCATGCAGTGAATACAATAAATTAAAATGAACACAAAACACTTCCTAGTCCCTGGTTTGACTTTGATAAACTCTCTTTTGTCATCTTACCGCGGTGCAGAAAATGGGTATGGGTGGATACCAGGATAGTACTATATTGTGATTTTATTGGTGTTTTATTTGATATTGATATTAATTGATATTATATTGATGTTTCCAGTATAGTGATTACATATTCATCCTTTTCTGCCTCCTTTGAGCCACTGACTCCCATTATTTTGGGCTCCTGGCTATATAATGGCTGGTTGTTAGCTGCAGTGGTTGAAACCCCCTCATCCTTACAGAACACATGCATACTCAGGAGGCTCTTGGAACTGGACCCTTCCAGGCAGAACGATGTCCAAGGCTGGGATTCCAGATACCAGAGTGCTGGCCATTTACAGTATTTTCCACTCTTTGGTGTTTGGTATTTATGTTTTCCCTTATCTCCGTATTTTAGAAGTCAGTGGGGGACATGTCTGCCCGTCTGTAATACACAGAGGAAGGCAGTATTGAAGGATGTCTCTGACACCTAAATGCAACTTATTAAAATCTCAAGTTTAAAAGTTGGGAGAATTGAGCAGTGAAATATAGTTAACTATGACCCAAAGCTCTTAAGGGGGTCTATTTCAGAGGCAGAGGCTGGAGCATTTAGGGCTCAGCAGGGAATTTTTTAGAGGCGGGTTTTTTTACATGTGGGAAAAGACAATGAAATGTTAGTGGGAAAGCTCAACGAGATAGAAGGGAGCTAGGGAAATGCAGATGCAAAATGAAAGCAGGGAAATGTGTGAGTCTTGAACAAACTGCAGCGTTTGATTAGAAAGTGCAACGTGCAGACTACTGGATGTGATTAAAAATAGAATTTTTTTTTTTTTTTTTTTTAAGAAAAAAGTTAATATAATTTTAGAGCTAGCGACTGTAGTTCGGGGTGGCGGTGCCCGTTACATAACCAGCCACGGTAGCGGTGCCAGTGAATACCGCATACCTACGGTGGGGTCGCAAGTACCGGGGGATGCAGCGCGTCCACCGCGCCAGGTCCCGGGTGATGGGATGGGTCGGAAAGAAGAGGGGTTGCTCGCCTAGCTCTGCCCTTGCGCCGGGAGTGAGGAGGGAGAGCGGGACAGCTGCAGGGCGAGGGTGGGGATCCCGCTCCAGCCGCCCCTCCTAACCCACCGCTGCAGGGCAGGGCACGGCGGAGCGGCAATCACCCTGCTATCCGCAGGGACACGGTCCCCGTCCCAAAGGGGCCGCAAGCGGCAGCGGGAGGGCCGGCCCCCACCGCCCGCGTCCCGCCCGAGTCCCGCCCGCTCGCTTCCGCGCACACCGCCCCCCCCCCCTCCCGGGAATTACCACCCCCCTCCCGGCTCGGGGGCCAGGTACACTTGACGTCAGGATGTCTGTCGTCGTTTTGACGTGTAAACACTCATTTCCATTCCGACTCCAGAGGGTCTGGGTGCTGCGCAGCCCCGGGCAGCCGCGCCAGCAGGCAGGCAGCTGACAGAGACCCCTATCCCCGCGCTCGCTTAGCAACACATCGCCCCGCCGCCGCCGCTCCCCGCGGCCATGGACCGGCGCCACTGGGCAGGCCGGTGCTTGGCGCTGGTGCTGCTGGCCGTCTGCTGCCTGCCCCGCGGCGGCGGCTCTGAGCGCCAGTTCCTCAACGAGTGGGCAGCGGAGGTCCCGGCGGGCCACGCCGCCGCCAGAGCCATCGCAGAGGAGCTGAACTACGACCTCGTGGGGCAGGTACGGCTGCGCACAGGCGGGCTGCCCCGCGCTGGGGTCCCCTCAGTCCCTCCTTTTCTCCATCCCTCCCTTTCTCCCTCCCTTCCTCCGAGCTGCACCGAAACTTGCGCCTGGCTGCTGTTGGCAAGGCTCCGGGGAGTTTGAAGAGCCTTCTACCCCCGCCTCCCCTCCCTGGACCCGGGTCCACGCAGGGCGGGGAGCCCCGCGATAGCGGCGCCCAGCCGGGAACTGCTTTTACTAAAGGGACCGGGCAGGGTCGGGTTCTCCCTAAGGAGAGCGGAGGGAGCCAGGCAGGGACTCTGCTCTCCCCGAGGGACCGGGCAGGGCACCTCGTCTCTCCTTGAGGGCACCGGGCAGTGCACCCCAGCCCTCCTTGAGGAGACTGGGCAGAGCACCCCGGCTATTGCTGAGGGAACCGCGCAGTGCACCCTGGCCCCCGCCGGGAGTCCTGGCAAGAGGAGGCCGCGGGCAACGCACCCCGGAGGCTCCGTCGCCATCGTGGGTCTCCTCTCCATGAGGCCCTCCCGGCGCTTTTTTGGGATGCTGTGACGTCAGCGTTGTCAAGGATGAGTAACCGCCTTTAGGTGATAGTCCCACATCCCCCCACACCCCGCCCCCAGGTGGGGATCGTTCGCCGGGCAGCGCGTCTGGAAGCCCTGGGGACCCTGGTACCGCTCGCCGAGCCGCGGCCCTACGCCGGGAGCCCGGGACGGCCGTGTGCCTCAGGGCAGCCCATTCCGGACTGCTCCCCGGGACGGCGGGCGGCCACAGCCCTGCTCAAACCTGGGGTGTTGATCGCGGCGCTGTGGGATTGGTCTTTCCGCCTTTGGAGCGAGGGGATTCGCCCCTACCGATTTCGAACGGCACTGCTCGGGGAAGAGGGATGTTTAAACCCACATCTGCGGGTGAGCGGGTACTGTGCCTGTCAAAATGCCTGTTCAGAAGATGCCCGTACGAATCAATCCTGCAGTGAGGCTTCTGAAGCCGCGCTGTGTTTTTTACACCTGTTCAGCAGCTGAAACTGGTGTGTGATTACATTAAAACCTGTCCCTTGAAATGAGGCCGTGTCAAGGTATGTCCATGACAAAGTATGTCCATACTGGTAACTACTACAAGTAACTACGTTACCAAGTACTGTAGTAGTAATGACTGCTACCTCACTAGCTCAGATGATTCCCCCAGCTTCTTCTAGCAGCACATAGGCTGTGATAAACACTCAATACTTTAAAAGTGTTTTTTATTTTAGATTAAAATAGAATCATACAATAGTTAGGGTTGGAAAGGACCTTAAGATCATGTAGTTCCAACCCCCCTGCCATGGGCAGGGACACCTCACAGTAAACCATATCACCCAAGGCTCTGTCCAACCTGGCCTTGAACACCATCATGGATGGAGTATTCACAGCTTACCTGCTCAACCCATTCCAGTGCCTCACCACCCTTGCAGTAAAGAACTTCCTCCTTATATCCAATTTAAACTTCCCCTCTTCAAGTTTTAACCTGTTACCCCTTGTCACTACAGTTCCTAATGAAGAGTCCCTCCCCAGCATCCCTGTAGGCCCCCTTCAGATACTGGAAGGCTGCTATGAGGTCTCCACTCAGCCTTGTCTTCTCCAGATGCTCATTTCCTCTCTTTTGTCTTTGAAGCAGAATGAATTTGGTCAGGTTGCAATTGTTGGTACTTGTTTGCAGTATGGAAATACCTCTTGATAGTTAAAGTACACCTGTGACTTGCAGATTGGATCACTCAAAAATCACTACCTGTTCAGACATAAAAGCCATCCAAGGCGCTCCCGAAGAAGTGCCATTCTCATCACCAAAAGACTTTCTGATGATGAGCGGGTGAGTGTCATGCTTTGTGTTTATTCTGTCTCCTTATTGCTAGCTCTACAATGAGGTCACAAGCAGGCTTTCCTTGTTTTGCAAGTCTAAGCTATTCAGACATCCGTACTCATGCTGAACAATACCTTATTATTCTGTCATTACAGGCAAAGTCTGACCACCTTATTTTTGCAAGTGCTTTCTAAATTAAGATTTAAAATATGCAGCAATGCAGAGGCTTGGAATTTCAGATGTTTGTTACTGATGAAAATACAAACAACCACAGAGCTTGACTCAAAGTAAAAACCCATGGATGCACTAAGTTTAATCAGGCCACCCCTGTGCAATTACCATGGGAATTACATTTGATTTGAAGTGATTGAGTATTAAATAATAAAAATAAAAAAAAAAAGTAGGGGAAACAGGCTGAGGTTTTGCTGGATTCGCTTCTGTGACAACCTAAAACCCCTTCTCAAAGGATCCATCACACGTTCTAGACTTGCAGTCTTTAGGTAAAGTGGGATCCCATGGCAGTCAGAGAACAGGCACAGTGGAGAGCCAGAATCTGAGGATCTGCACTGGTGCAGTAGACACCCCAGTTATCTGACTTTATTTAAGAGAGAAGCATGTCTGTTTGTAAGTGTACTGAAAAACTGGGCAGATTTAAGGAACAGACCAGAATGCTGTCAACCCCTCTTAAAACCAGCTTCTGTCAAATTTCAGAACAATGAATTTTTAATTTCAAATCAGCATTATTACAGCAGTGATTGTAAAAATAAGGATAGCCCAAAACATGAAGTAACTCAGTTGTGAAAACCATCAATTTATCATATAAGGACAAACCATTTGACGAGTAATTGGTTATACGGAGGTTTTAGAGGCAGCTGTCATCTAGGAAGAAATATTCTGTATGTAGCTAGAAGAATTAAAGGAGGGGGTGAGATGGGTTTTTTGCCTGTTCTGCTTCAAAATGGTACACTCCCATCTATATATCCATGCAAACATTAGTTTAACAGTTAAAGTCTTCCTGGTGAAATTGCTCTAAACTGGGGATGTTCAAGACCACAGCTTTAGTGGAAATTCTACATTATATCCACACCCACGACCAGATATTAAATGTGGTCATAGTACAATGTTCAAGAACAGTTTTGGTTCCAGTTCCTCCCTTTTTCAGACTAACTATATCAAATCTATCTCTGTAAGAGGGAAGCATAACAGTGTTTTAATATACCAAATTCTAATGCCGTAAGCAGAATGAAAGCAATTGTGTTACACGTGTTACTGCCGAACATTATTGCAGCCTTACATACTCAGAGTCAAAACCAGAGTTTCAAAGTGCTGGAGGTGATTTGATAAATTTACTCCAATTTCACTTTTATTTACCAACTAGTATGCAAATTAACTATGTGAATGAACAACATGTAATTATGTGATTATGTAAGAATATAAACACAAAGCAATCGTGTACTACTGTGTACATGGACCTGCCCATGACAGGGGGGGTTGAAACTAAAACATCCTTTCCAACCCTATCTATTCTGTGATGCTATGACTGTCTCTCCAAAAAGCTGCTCTTCTTCAGTAACTGCCTATTTAAAAAGATTTAAATTCAGGCTTCAAAAAGGGAAGGAGAAGGGAACAGCACTTTTGTTTGAGTAACACCTCCATGAATTTTACGGTATGGTAAGTGTGAAAGCTGGGGTAAAACTTGGCTCTCATCTGAATATTTATCTGCTTCCTATAGATACCTCAGTGTTTGTTGTAAAACAGATAAAGGCTGTGAATATATTGAAGGGATAGAATGATCTGGTTCCCTTACTTCTTCCATTATTTGCACTAGTTCCACAGTTTCCTTTCTTGCAAGATATCTGCAAGGTTATTTTCACTGCTTTATGTATCTTTGACTGGAAGCTTGGCATAGGGCCTTCGGCTTTTGCTGTAGATGGATGGTTGGAACCTCATCCAGCTGCTGAGTGACAAACATTTGGCTTGTTTGACGTATGTCCTTGGTAGTTTCATCTCATTTCCCTCAGTGCAGTTGTCCACGTCGAAAAAAATAACAAGCATGGAAGTTGTCAGTTGTTAATTACTGTTGGGTGGTGAAGAGGCCAAGCTTTACTGAGGGCAGGGAATAGAGATAAAGGTAATTGGTCTAACCTGGTCACAAGTATGTGTTTCCCTGGGTGTAAATAGGACAATTTAAAATGCTTATACTTGCACGGGTATATTCATCTTCTGTGACTAACTGCAGTTTATAGGGGCTTTAACACTGAATATATAGCAAGGGGAACAGTATTAGGGAACTTTCAGTAAGCATGCTTGGAGTAGTTACCATTTTCAAGGATTTATATTATTGTAATGATTTTTCATTAGGCTCTCACTAGGAAATCACGTTTTAATCAAATCAGTATCATTTTTAATCAAAATTTCTGAGTCACTCATTATTGTTTCATATATGGTGACAGATGTAAGGATCAGAGAGAAAAATAATGAAATCTATTCAGACACTGAAACAAAAGGTTAAATCCAAGTCATTCTCTGCTTTAGGCTTATAGCAGGATCTTGGCCATCTACTGAACCTGAGTTTGCTTTGCTCGTTTTGAAGTTGGGATGAAAAGCATCAACTTGACCTGTGTCAGAGTGATCATTCAGGTGCTAGCAATTAATAACATTTTATACCCACTTCCAAAAGGAGCACACAGCAGGGAAGAGGTATTAGAATCAGAATTTGGTTTGGACTGGGTTTAATAATGTCTTCAAGGGAACTAAGTGGGGTGCACTTTTAAAATGCAGCCTAGTGGCCTAGAGATTGATGTGTGAGTGCACAAATGCTGTGCCACTTGTACTGATGCTCCAGCAAAACATGCTGAAGCATTTTGGCTTTCATTTTCCTGAAGCTGAATTCTGCTGTGATGAATTTAGTCCAATGTTCATAGCTTACTAATTGATCACGCTTCAAAACACCACTGTGAAGACGACTTGAAGGTCCAGCTGAGCTATGAGTAACAGCATCATTATGATTGCTAGACTAAAGCCAGACATAATCTTTCTGCTTTCCTTTTAAATCCCAGTAGAAATAGATGGGGTTTAAAATGTAGGTAGGAGAAAGAAGCAGGCTGTGGTTTTGCTTGTTTCAGTAACCACCACTGCTTAGATAATCTTCTAACCGTATTGAACATTTGGTAATAAAAGCCTGCATTTTGTGGCACTCACAGGAGTTCTACTTTTCACTTGTAATAAATGATTTTCTATTAATTGATTCTAGAGTATTGTGATTTCACTGAGACCTCTTCCCAAAGTATGTTGTGCTAAAATAGAAACAATCCTCTCTGTATCAAGCATTGCTCATTTTGCTTTAGGCGTCAAAATTTTGCTGTGTGAGGAAGATCCTTATCCCCTAAAAGCAAAAAGTCATAACCCGTACAGGCTTACTTGTCATATCTATGCAAATAATTGTAGGTGTCATGGGCAGAGCAGCAATATGAAAAAAAGAGAACTAAGCGTGCCATCGTGAGAGACTCAGCAGACAATCTTTTCAATGATCCTATGTGGAATCAGCAGTGGTATCTGGTAAGAATTTATTTCCCTATGCAACTGGGGAATGATGAATTTCAGTTGTGCTATGAGCTGCCTTATTTTACTAGTATGAGTGCGACTACAGTGAATGTAGTAAATGAAGAGTCCCTCTCATTAGCATATGCTATAAAAATGAGAGATCTCTGCACATAATATTTCTGGGCAACCTTCTGTTTTTCCTGAAGTGTCATTTGTACAAAGACTCTAAAAGCCAATTCAGGCAGCTGCTTAGGATGGGGGTTGATGTTAGAGTGCGTAGCAGTTAAAAGCTACCTGTATGATAATTTTAAAATATTTACTATTGGCATATTAGTCATCCCTTATCATGTCCGAAGGTGGCCAGGTATTTCTGTATTAAAATTTGTACTGCAGAGTGCATGCTCCGGATGCGAACAAAAGCATACACATGCATATGACAGGCACCTTCAGCCTCTTGGACTAGGATTTACACAGAAGCGGGTCTCTACAGCTTACATGTTCAGAACCTCAAGGAAGACAAATTTCCTGAGTTCTGTTGTTCTTTTTTGCATCTGAAAACTCAGAAATACATGTTTTATATGGTTTCTTTTGAGAGTCTGTATTTCCACTGTGCATTCTAGCTGTACCTTTGTTCTAGGCTTCCTTGCTGTCACTCAGAATAGGGGTGGGATCAAAGGCGGGTGCAACAAATCAAGAAGAAAGGTCAAGCACAAATGTGCCCCAGTTGGCTGCAGATATTTTTCTCTTCTTCAGCTCAGCTTAGAGAAAACAGACCAAACTCTATGCTGTTTGTATAATGTTTTGCCCTTTCTTTCTTTTTGTTTGAGCTAGGAAAAATAAATTATAAACTGCATAGCATAAGATAGTTCCATGAAGATTCCTGCAGACTTCTTTTCAACATAAAAAGGATTATCATTAAGAATTTAACTTTTACTTGAAGCTGAATGTCTGTTTGCTCCTTTGCCTGTTTCCAGTAGGAAGCAGGAAATTTCCAAGATGTCTGTGTTAGACATATATGCAAACACACACAAAGAGCAAAAGAGCAAATTGTAAAAAAAACAATGTCCTATTCTCCAGGAGGCATAGCTCCTTTTTCCACCTATGTTTTTCACTTCTTCCCTTTAGTTTTCCCATACGAGAAAAAGAAACATGATGCTTACCTTTGTTTGCAGTGTACATTGATTTTTTTTTCTGATTAAATGCATAAATGTGTTAAATATTTTCTTCCAAAATAACATTTCTTGCTTTGTAGTAAAGAAATTAGTATTACCTTATTATTATGATTTGCAACAGTTTTTAGCTTCATTCAGTGTACCTTCACACATCACCAGAAAAAAGGATTATTTGATGACTTCAAGAGAATAAAATGTGAAACCTCAAATAACTCTCTGAATGGCAGCAGCAAGAATAGAAAGCATAAAATGAAAGAAAGGTCATTTCTGTAACAGATTTCTTTTTCTAAACCTCATACTTTAATGCAGAATACCTGTGGAAACAAAGAAATGAATAACTTGCGATCAACTAATATAATTATGCACAGAGAAACAGAAAAAATGGCTTTTTCTTTTTTTTTGCACCTTTGTTTTTATGGGTTTTGTAAGCAAGTAATCTAAATTAAGTATATGTACTGCACATCTAATATTGAAGAGGAAAAATTACCCATTTAGGAGCTACTCTTCAAAGAATTTGCTGTGGAAGAGAAGTCTATAGATGATTCATGCTTCCAGTTGATTTACCACAGGAACAGTAATGAGGATAGTAAACAGAAAGTTGTGATTCAGCAGTTGTTCCTAATCAAAGGACTACCTTAACTGTTTTATCCATTAATTGCTTTGTTCTGGCTAACTTGAATGTTGAAAGAGAAAACACATTTGGAGAAAACAGCTCACTGTACTGTGGGGTACTGTCTTGGCTTCTCATCAAGGGAAAAAAACAAACATTAGCAGGTCTGATTATTAACTCAATGTTCCAAGGTTCATTGGTGCATCCTCACCATTCCCATGTTTCTGCTGCCTTACGCCCAGTAAATACAGGATACTCTTTGTTCAGAGATGGTTTTCACAGATCTTAATTAAGGGCATAAATCCGTAAGTGCTGCAACTAATTTTTATTTTATCTTTGCAAAATATGTGCAAAATCTACAAGCTCAGGCTGGGATGGTTTAGAGCGTGTTTAAAATACAGTTTTAGACCTGTGTAGTGTAAGTGGATAAAAATGTTGACGTATTTTAATCCTTTCTGTCTCCCAGCAAGATACAAGAATAACTCCATCCCTGCCCAAACTGGACCTCCATGTTATTCCTGTATGGCAGAAAGGGATAACAGGCAAGGGCGTTGTCATCACAGTATTAGATGATGGCTTGGAGTGGAATCACACTGACATCTTCTCTAACTATGTAAGTTTGGCCATTAGAATGCTATGGAATAAATTAATCAACTGTAAATTTGATATACAGACACTCTTACTCATCTTGCTGTCTGTTCTGTAAGTCAGCTCCTGCAGTACAGAGACTGAAATGTTTGCCTTAGGCATAATTTGGAACCTGGTCTGTGTCACAGGAACTGGAATGTTACTTAGCAATGATAGTGGGGTGGTTCTTTTGTTGTTTTGTTTTTCCCTTGGTGGATTTAGTTCCCAGGCATGTTTGTTAAAGCTCCATGAAAAATTTATGGAATTGCTAATGCCCATCAAATTCTACCAACTTGATTGCTGTCAATATGAGGCATGCCAGATAAATAACACAGACTGTAGAAACCATTTTGTTACATATTTTAAAATGCATTTTGTAGTTGTCCAAATTAAATGAGTCTGTTGTTTTTTTTGTTACATGTAGGATCCAAGGGCAAGTTATGATTTCAATGACAATGATCACGATCCTTTTCCTAGATATGATCCAACAAATGAAAACAAGTGAGTAGCCTTCTAGCTGCGTGAACAGAACAAAACAGCACAGAGTTAATTTGTCTCTTAGAATGTGCAAATGCAGAAATACCTGTGTATGTGCTTTGTGACAATCATATAAGAAAAGGAGGAATTTATGTAACGAAATCACAGGATGGTTTAAGTTCAAAGGGACCTCTGCAGATAATCTGGTCCAAACCCCTGCTCAGTCAGGGAGACCTAGAGCCAATTGTCCAGGACCACATCCATATGGCTTTTGAATATTTCTGAGGAGGAGAGAAGACTCCACAACCTCCTGGGCAACCTGTTCCAGTGCTCCCTCACTCTCACAGTGGAAAAAGCGTTTCTTGGTGTTTGGGAGGAACCTCTTTTGTTTTAGCAGTCTCCCTCTGTTGTTTTAGTAATCTCCCTCTGTTGTTTTAGTAATCTCCCTAGATGTGCCCTGAGTTTTTTCATCTTTGTCAGGTAGGCTACTGACATGTTTCTGTAAACTGAAGGGAACTATCTGCTCTTGTCACTGTGTGTGATTGTAGAATGATACCTCCCTAAGTAGAGTTTTACTTAGTTCTTTGCTTTGCACCGGGAATTTTAGGAGAATATGCTATAAAGGGCTCTGAAAGACACTGTATCTTAGAGGAATCTAATCTACCAAGGAGCCTATTCCTTCAGGTCAGCTGTTGTAGCCAAGGACATTCTACTCCAGTATTGGCAGTACCTTTTGGACTGATAGCATAGCTTCTAGTTCAGTGTGTGCAGCCACAGGTGAAGTCATACTTCTGACCTCATGTGAATTTGACACAGGGTCAGACACTGAAGTAGGTTACGTTCACTCCCATGACAATCTTTCTGTCTCTTCTGAGGCATATGGAAGCTTTATTTAGACCAGATGTGGCCTAAATATCCTCAATGTAATAACCTAGGAAGTCACAAAATGCTTGACCACAAGACTGTAGTGACAGGACAAGGGGTAACGGGTTAAAACTTAAACAGAGGAAGTTTAGATTGGATATAAGGAGGAAATTCTTTCCTGTTAGGGTGGTGAGGCACTGGAATGGGTTGCCCAGGGAGGTTGTGAATGCTCCATCCTTGGCAGTGTTCAAGGCTAGGTTGGACGAGGCCTTGGGTAATATGGTTTAGTGTGAGGTATCCCTGCCCATGGCAGGGGGGTTGGAACTTGATGATCTTAAGGTCCTTTCCCACCCTAACTATTCTATGATTCCATGATTCTAAGACAACCAGTCAGATCACTTAGTGGACTTGAGTGGCCTGCAAGGTGACAGAAATTTTTTCTGATGCCCTCTGTAGAGCTACCTTTCTGATACTCTGTGCAACATCTGGATGGGTCTGTCATATCCAGTCATTTCTGTCGTGCTTCAGGGAGAGATCGGGAGAGATCTTGTCTATCAGAAAGGGAAGAGAATGCTCTTCTTTAAAAGCTGGTACTTGGAAGAAGTCAATTTCCTAAAATAGTTAGGATGCTGCTACTCAATACAGGTACAGCAGGAAACTAATGCACTGGTTCCCTATTGTCTCTCAGACAACACAGTAACATCCACAACATAAATCAGTGTATGGGGAAAAAACCCAAGCAATCAATCAAAGGATAAATATACCATGAATAAGACATCTGAAAAATGACATTTCTACTTTATTACAGCATTATTTAAGAGCAAGAACCCATTATCCTGTTGTTCTGATGACATTATCTCTCAAATCTACCTGTTTTACCTCTAATCTTTGTTAATAAGTAAATGGAATTCTGCCTAGAAGCATTCAAACACTTCATTGAATAAGTCTGTACTATTAAATAATACAGCTCTTCTACAATTTACACTTACATGAAGATATTCTGTATCGTGGCATCAGAATCACCTATGGAGAAAAAAAATTGCGTAGAAAGTAGTTGGTTACAAGAAAAATTTGGTGATTATTAAGATACTTCTAAAAGCTTAGTTTCTGAAATCCTAAATACTGACATCTAATGGGTCTATTGACTTCAGTGTGTTTTAGGTAAGGCATTTATCATCTCCTCGCAATGATCCTTTGATCTTGAAGTAGATGGAGTTATGTTGCTTGAAGCCTACGAGAAACAAGTATTTTTGTATTACGTAGGTACAACTGAAAAGCAATTCAGTAGCTGCATTTCATTCATTTAAAGGAAGACCTCCACCAAATCAAGGTCACTGATGACTCTTTGTGTACATTACACAGAGATATTATGAGACGTAGCTTGTTCTTGCTATATTTATTCAGGCATGGAACGCGGTGTGCAGGAGAAATTGCCATGCAAGCCAACAACAGAAAATGTGGAGTTGGAGTTGCCTATAATTCCAAAGTTGGAGGTAAGAAAACAAAAATTATTAGATGCCTAATATGAACAGAGACCAGGCAGATCCTGTGAAGTGCTGATCATTTTCACCTACCGTTAATCTGAAACACCAATGATTGCTCCTTTTCAGAAAACATCAATCTTGCACTGTTAGGCTACAAAATCCTAAGTCTGGCCATATTGCAGAGTGTTACTCTATATGACAATGTTTCATGAATATCAGCACACTGTCTGGAACCTGGCTGTCAGTTGAATATAGGCAGGATATATAACAACAGCAACAATATAGGTGGTGGTGATGATGATGGTGATAATAGTAGTAGCAGTAGTAATAATAATAATAACAGCAATATCAAGAACCTATATTGTACCCCACAACAATAGCAAGAACCTATATTGTACTGAGAGATAAGACTATATCTTTTATATATGAATGATAGACACACTTACAATTGCTTATCCTGGAAGGAGGTGGCTTGAGGAAGAAGCATTGAGTAGAGTGAAAGTAAGAATACACAAATTTATACCTACGCTTGCTTGCAGAGTATTGTTTACACAATTACATTTGAAAGGTCATATCAGTGAGGATATTCAAACTGCTGTGGCTTTTGTTTCAACAGCTTACCTCTATACTATCATCCTAAGTTAATTTTGAAAATAAGTATTCTTGCTTGCCCAACCATCAATATTGCCATTTTTTTTGAAGTGGTGACTGAAAGCTTAATCCATTAGAGGTCTATGAAATAGTCGTGATCAGAGCATCAGTGGCAAATGGTTATTTAGCTCAGAGGAAGATACTTGTACAGAGCTAGTTTTTCCATTACTCCCTTTTTCGCTTTTAAACAAAGAGATGATGAGTGGCAATTGACAGCCATAACTGCCGTTCCACCATTTCAGTCTTATGCTTGTAGGTTCCCATTTACTCTACTGAACTGTCATAGATGTCAGCTTTGCAGTCTGCCTTTACCATAAAACATTATGCTGTCATGCTCTGTTTAAGTAAAATACCTCACTCATAAGAGGAAGACGCCAAGGTTTCAAAGCAGGGGAAAATGGATGAAGCTGAAAAGATGTCTGAACTCCTGCTGTGCCCATATTTTAAGGCACTTGCATCTACAGAGAAGATTCTTCCAGTTATTTGCATATGCTTTGTGTTCATTTGCAGATGCAAACTACAGATACATGCAGGGTGATTTGTCTAGAACAGGAAAATAACAGGATGAAAAGCAATCCAGGAATCCGAATTACACAGAAAGCTGCTCATACCTGGGCTGCAGAGGAGGAAGAATGGAAAAGTTGACAGAAATTGTAAGCTGTTATATACAACAAGCTTGATTAAGATAGGTACATAACAAAAATGTGTTCAAAGAGCAGTGGAAGATAGGAGAAGTCTTCAAAATATTCATGTAAATTTGAAGTGGCTAAACATTGGAAGGCTTTTTTGATGTTCCCTGCTATACAGGATTAATTTCTTCAGTCTTTTCTTCCTTCTTCTTTTTTTTTTTTTTTTTTAAATCCATGAAATGGCACATTACACACTTCTATTTGGCATTAGTTCAGGATGACTTCTTTAAGTGGCTCTTTGCTTGTAGCAGTTGCCATACTGAATAAATCCAGTGGTCCACAGCCAATGGCTTCTCTTTGATAGTCAGCAACAGCTGCTTTAGGGAAAGAAACCCTGACATGTGGAATACTGTGTTCTCTAACCTTCAGCATAAGAGGTTGGTTTAACTTTGTCTTGAGGGGTTAAAACAAAACATTTAGTTCAGAATGTTTTGTTTTCCATGAAAATACTGTCTTTAGTAGCCCTGAGTGTTCTCACTGGTAACATCGACATATGGATCTATTCTGAAACCATTATTAGTCTCTTTAGTACTCTGTGCCTGTGAATCCCATAGGCGTTTCACTGCGCTCTGTAAAAAATATAAAAATGGCTCTTAATACCAGTTTTTCCAAGTGACGCCTTTCAGTGTCCTTCAATATTCGCTTCTTGTTCTCTGTAGTGCTAAGAAATACATGTGTATCAATCACTTTTGGAGTAAAACAGGGTGTGTATGTTTTTTTACATGTACCTAACCATAGCACTGTGCTCTGATATTTCCATGGTGCTACCATGAAAATCAAATGATTAAGAAGCTCCATTTTACAAAGGACTGGGCTGAGAGATCCTGCACAGTGACATGTTGCTAAAAATAGCCCTCTGCCAGGCAGATACCTGTATGTGTCTGAAAATTGCTTTGGCTTTGGCTTTTGATTTTGTGGGACTGATGATGGCAGCAAGCATGTGCAAGAATACAAAAGAGTTTAGGCAATACTACATAATTTGAATCTACTTAGGGAAATATCACTGCAGCTTGACTTAAGCAAGCAGGATTTTTGGCGATCACAAAGACAAGACGGAGTTTTTTTCCTTGCAGTGTTTTCATCTGTGTCGTCAGTGTTCTTGCTTTCTCCCTTATTACACCATTTCTCTTTGGAGTTGGCTTTGTCTATTTCTGTGGGAAATATCTTTACACTACTCTGCATTTTCTGTACTGCATTATGTGTTTCAAGCTCACACCCAGAGTTCACAGTCGTATTTCCATGCAGGCAGATCTTTGCTCACAGCGCACGACTATGAGAGCATCTCACAATTCTGAGCCAACTGAAAAATGAGTATTCAAAATGTTATGAGTTTAAGCCTATCCAGGGTAAGTGGTATTTTTAGTACCTGAGGCACAGGAGATACGGATATATCTTGATTCTTTTTCCAGCTTTGTGAGTGATAGTGGATTAGCAGTGGTTGAGTGGATTAACTCCTTTGTCTGTTTTTGATACTAATTAACATGAAATAATAAAGCCAAGCTTTATCTCGTAAGTAGTATGAGTCTTAGAGGCCAGCCATATGGGAAAAGGATTATGCTTACAGTCTTCTTTTTTTTTCCTGCTTTATAGTATGAAAATAATAGCAAGGCACTGAGCGACAAGAGCGAAGTTGTTTATGTTTTTTTTTCTCCTTTTTTTTTTTTAATAGAATGATCACATTTTTCCTACTGTCCTTTGGGGGGGGGGGAATCCCCATTTTGTGAAAAACACTAGAAAATGAATTCTCACATTTCACCAATGCCAGTAATGGTGCAGCTGCTATAGCACCAACTTCCTGCGTTCAAGAGAACCCAGACACTTTTACTGCCTGAAAAAGAGGCTTAATCCTGACAACCATGGCTCTTCCGTTGCTGCTGTTGCTGGGAGAGCCATATCATAGTGGGAATTTTGCCAGACTTCTGCTACCCGTGTCCTCCTCCAGCACTGGACAGAGGTAACAGTCCTACTTCAGAGCTCCAGTGCTGATGAACCTCTGTTTGCCACTGAATTTTAAGTACTGCTGAGATCAGGATTGCTCTGAAGAAAGTTAGTTCATTCAGTTCCTAATAAAATGTTAAAGGCTAGGTGTCTCTAGCATCTTCGTATTGCATACAGGAGAAAAAAAAAATGGTCTGTAAACAACAGTGGGAATTTTTTGTGATGAAGATTGAAGAGCTAGTGAGATACCAGCGTCAAAGACAGCAAAACCGTTAATAACTGTGAGGACAAAGTGGTTTAGTTGGAACATTCGGAGCTACGTCTTTGAACTAAAAATCTCAGAACTCTTAGAGATAAAAGTAACGGTTATAAAACCTATTTCATTTTACTGATATGCTAGCAGTTTTAGTTTGTTACAGATTTAACAGAGAGCAAGAGTAAAAGAACAGCTCAATACAATAGGAACAAGCAGGAAGAGTAAAGAAAACATCTTGGCTTTATGTAGAAAGATAGAAGTAAATAATAGTCAACTTAGGTTTTTAGAGGGTTTTTTTTTAGTGTTTGTAGAGAGCACTGAGCTCTGCATGTAATGGGTAAGTGTACTCTTTCACACTGACATGAGTGTTGCTTACATGAAGAGCAGTAGGCTGTGCTTGCAGTAGCTGCTTACTAATTTGGCTGGAAACTTCACAGTTAACAAAGGAGGGAACACAATGTAAATACAGTTTGCTTCTTTTTCTTCATCAAGGTATACGAATGCTGGATGGAATAGTCACTGATGCTATTGAAGCCAGTTCAATTGGTTTCAATCCCGAACATGTGGATATTTACAGCGCAAGCTGGGGCCCTAATGATGATGGTAAAACTGTAGAGGGACCTGGGAGACTGGCACAGAAGGCTTTTGAGTATGGAATAAAGAAGGTACGATGCTTAAGAGAAAGATAGAATAAAATGTGGTAAAGAACAGAATTATAAAATGGTTGACACCAAGTTAAAAAACCAAATCCATGGTTTGTGCTCTTTTTTGCTCAAATGTATTTAAAAAGGAGGAGATATATTTTAATAGTACAGGTCAGAGAAATTACCAGCCAGAAAAGCACCGCTGAAACTTTCTAACTGGTTTTAAGCTGTTACCCTCCACAGATAGGCTTTCTTTTTCCATCCTCACTTTTTCTGCCTTTGTCCCACCCTGCCACCCTTCTCTGCACTGAACAGTAATTGGATTTCCGCACTGAAAGCCTATCCAATTTAATATAAAATTTCTGCTTTGTGAATATTTTGCTGTGTGAAATAGTGATGCATTTCAGCACCCTGTGGTTGGACTTGTTTTGTATTAATTGCATTAGTTTATAAATCGGTGCATACCACGATCCAGTTAAAAGGAAGATTGTAAAAACACATGATGAAGAGAATTAGAAACAAATGTTTTTACAGTTCTTTTTCATGTTATCCTCTTTAGATCTGGTTGGATGATAAGTAGCGTACAAACTGAGAGCTACTGGGGGTGTATTAATACTACCTTGCTCTTGCCAGTGAGGTAAAAAGGTATCTAAAGATGGACAGGTACTAATACAGAGAGGAAGACAGATTCAGAGAGAGGAGAGAAATGGAGGGAAGCTTGAAGGACAGAAGCAAAAAGAGTGGATTTTGGAAGAAGGGCAATTAACGTCAGCAGACAGGAGGAGAGAAGAAAGAAGAGTGACAGCTGACAGGCATACTCTGAGCGAAGACTGGAGACCAAGAGGAGTGTGCTGGTGATAAAGTCCATAGGTTGGCAGCAAGAGAAGAGGGAGAATTAAAGGCAGTAATTAGGGAGCAAGTGTTCAGTGGGCCTACTCTGAAAAATCAGGTTCCTTGGTGAAGAAAGTAGCTTTTTTTACAGCTCATATTATTTCTCAAGGGGAGCAAATTTGACCATTCATTTGTCAGGCTTCCTTTGGCAAGGATCTCATGATCTCCACTCGGCTTAAAGTCAGACAGAGTTGGGGTGACCAGTGACTTTCATCCCTGTCACCTTCATTGCTGGAGTGTATGCTTAGTCTTAAGTGTTTTAAGAGGCATTAGCAGTACTCTTAAGTGAAACCAAAGCAAGTATTTACATATACCGGTGCTTTTCTGGACTGCAGCCTTTATTCTCAAAGTAAGATACTATCTAATTTTCTTTAACTGACATAGCTTGTGCTTCCCATTTTAACAGTTGTATGACAAAGAGTGCAGTTTGCTTTTTCTTTATTTTTGATATTTTAAGTGCTGCAAATGTCTTAACACTTCCATGAATAATTTCAAATCTCATCTGAGTGGGATGATAAAAATTTGTATGTAACTGCTGTTTCTAATGAATGTGCATAAGTCAATAATGAGCAACATATGAACTTTTGCTCTTCATATGAAACTAGCACAGCTTAAGACTGGATAAGGTAATACATGTTTCCTCTATGATAGCTCTGATACTTTACATGCTGTCAGCTGCCAGCATCAGTTGTTAACTGCTGCTCCGTCTTTACGTACTGGAGACCAGAGCAGGGGATGAACATGGTTACATCTGGAGAGTGGTGCTGGTGGCCCATAGTCCTGTAGGAGGATTTTCAGTGAGATGTGCTTGCTGGTATCCTGTGTTTCAGCAAGTAAAGGCCAACCATGAAAGGCTTCCTTACAAAAAAATGAATTGATGGAAAAGTCTTATCATGTGCATCATTCATACTGTTTACACATACCTCCATGATTGCAGGAAAGGCAAGTGAAATAAGTGAAATACATAAGTTTTTACTTCCCATTTCTTAAGAAAAAAAAAAGGCTTTTTTTTCATAGAAGTAGTCTGAACTAAAACATCAGTGTGTGGGAAAACTTACCCGTTGAACACAGATTCTGTTTTTTAACTTAAAAACCTATTCTGAGGAAAGTTGCTGAACACTAACCCTCGACCAGTCAAACTAATATATGTACTGTAGGGTGTGTAGTAGGATACCTCAAGTAGCTGGTTTCTTCTGTCTCTGTCTTCTACGGTGCACATGGGAAACTGTCCTATCTGAAAATGTTTTATTTATCAGGCTTTTTTGGGGGGAGAGGTTGTTGAGAATACATTACAGAGACCAAAATCTCTTTGATAACTGCTCATTTCCATTTTCTCTAGGGCCGAAATGGGAAAGGCTCCATTTTCGTATGGGCTTCTGGGAACGGAGGCCGTCAGGGTGACAACTGTGACTGTGATGGTTACACTGATAGTATCTACACTATTTCCATTAGCAGTGCTTCTCAGCAGGGCCTTTCTCCCTGGTATGCAGAGAAGTGCTCTTCAACTCTGGCCACAGCATACAGCAGTGGGGATTATACAGACCAAAGAATTGTAGGTTGTTTTTACCAGATTCAGAACAAACATAAAAATGTATTTCATATGCAAATAACAAGTGAGAGCTCTTAATGCTTGTTTTCTAGTACCTACTTTGTCTTATGTGCTACATGCTTAGTGCTTTTGTCTTGGAAAACAGAGGGGTTTGTGATTCAAAAAGTGATTGCATTCCTGGAACATCTTACACTGTAAGCAAGAGCTAAACAAAATCATTGTGTTGATCCAGTTAAATCAGCTTGCTGAATTTGCCTGCTGTTTGTATTGCAGAGGTCTCTGCATGAAGCTTTATATGGTCTCATTCTTCAGAAAGGGCAAATGAAGGGAGTTTTAGAGGAGAGGCAAAAAGAACCTTTGAATTTAGTGAGTCACTATCTCTGTATACCTTGCCATTACCTTTTGTAAGATTGTGACAGCAATATACTGCTTCCAAACCTTTAAAAGGTACTCAGCAAACAGGCATATCAGTCTGCATGCTTTCATTACTGTGCAAGAAATAACTTGTACTGAAGGAAGTTCATGTGATAAAATAATGTTGAAGTACTTCTAATTTCTGTTCAGCCCTGGTGGATGCTAATTTTACTATAAACTACATTGATGTGGATTAAAATGTCATTCCAAGTTAGCCAGGAGATGTGTCCTTCCTAAGTGGTTTCTCTTCATACCTGAGACGCAGATACATGGGTAAAAGAGCTTGGTATTTAATTTCCAAATAAAGCACATGTTTCATTGCAAATTATAGTTCTTCTGCTGAAGAGGGAGCAGAACACCAATACTAATCCTATGAATAATTTTCTAGCAAGCAGTGATTTTAAATGTTCTAGGCCCAACACAATGATCTGTTTTTATGATTCACCAGTAAGCCTGAAACACTTATTGTGAAACCTGAGAATAAAATAAGATACTTAGTGTGGGAGTATTTTGTTCCAACACAAAGCGTTTTGATACAAAAATTATAGTTGAAGTGAACAGATTCAAGCATCCATCACTTTTGTGCTGGTGAGGAATGTATTGATGTAACCAAGTAAAGGATACATGGTTATGCTTGTGAGTGTGGATATGACTGTATTTGCAACTGTTTATTCATGCACTTGTTTTTTTGCTCAGACAAGTGCTGATCTTCACAATGAATGTACAGAGACTCACACTGGGACCTCTGCATCTGCACCACTGGCAGCAGGAATTTTTGCTTTGGCACTGGAAGCAAAGTAAGATGCCACACAATTACCTTTGAAACTCATCTTTCTCGGCCACCCCACCATCTTCCCTGAAGTGTTGTCTGTATGAAGTGGCACCATCTCATGCTGCAGCTCCGCTTTTTGTCAGTCAGACTTGCTCAGGCTGGTGACAAAAAATAAGCAGCTACTTGCCTTAACACCTTCTGAGCAAAGAAGAACCAAAATAAGTAATATGTTATGGCAGAGGAATTTTAGTCCATTTCATGCATTGGCCCCAATTCTTCACTGAATTCTGTCAATTGCACTTCAAAGCAGTGAGGTTGCACATGTATCAGAACATAATTTGAAGACAATAGGTTGGAGGAGTTTAAATCAAGTCTTTAGTCAATTTACTGAAGCTTTTCTGCTGATGATGAGACTTAAAATGGAAAGTACCCAACCTTGACTGTCAGAGCAGGCTGGGAGCAGGCAGGTTCAGATCCTTTAGGGCTGGTAGTCAGAATGTAGGACTTAAAGAGGATAAGAAAGAACAGGATAAGACAAGACAATGGCTTTTTCACAGAAAACACATCATGCATTAAGGCATAGGCTTAGTGCTTGAATGGTGTGGGTTCAGCTCCAGTTCCCATTGCATACTCCTTTGATGGCATAATCCAAGATACATAGGGCCATAGAGTTAACCACAGATAGAAATCAAATCCCCATTTAAGTTTCAAAGTCCATGTCTCATAAAGACTGATGGGACATACTGAAATGCCTGAATAATTTGGAAGAACTTGACTCTTAATTTTGCTAGATAACTATTCTTCATTTACACGGAAACCTTGTCTACCTGAAGAAGCATTGTGAGGATGAGCATGTATATTTTAAGCCCTGTATATTTTTAAATAATGGAATACCATATACATTCAAATCAGATTCTGTCGCAAACTAAATAATAATAATAATGCAATCATATCATTATTAATAATCACATTATTATTGTTATTATTTATATGTGATATTATTATAATTGTAATTATTAGTAATATATTATTATTGATAATATATTACTATTATTACTATAATAATAACTGAGAAAAAAATAGCCCTGAAACAATTAACGAGGAACATTTTCTCAACAGCCCGAATCTAACATGGAGGGATATGCAGCACTTGGTAGTGTGGACCTCAGAATATGATCCACTGGCTGGAAATCCAGGATGGAAAAAGAATGGAGCGGGACTGATGGTCAACAGTCGATTTGGGTTTGGACTACTCAACGCCAATGCTTTGGTAGATTTAGCTGATCCCAAGAGATGGAAAGGTGTACCAGAAAAGAGAGAGTGTATTGTCAAAGACAAAAGCTTTAAACCAAGGTAAGAATTTGCATTGCAGTAACTAAGCTTATATCTCGTTTATTAAAGCCTGAAGGATAGTATTCTGCACAGATTGCTCTGAACCAGACTAAGAGATTTCTTTTGATTCATTTAATTTTACCTTACTGCGTTCATCAGGGGCAGGCAAGGAGCATTTCTTTGCTTGGTTTTTTTAGTGTAAGACTGATGTAAATTGCTAGCATGAAGCTGTAACAAAGATAATTATGTCTGCTTGTGCAGCCAGTGTATGGATGGATGATGCTGTGAGACTGAAACCAATCAAGTAAGCTATGAATGTTTAGAATGCTGTCAGAAGATGGGTAAAAAGATACCAAAGACTCCCAGGGATTTAAAAAAAATTAAAAATCTGTAATCGGTCTTAGCAATTCTTCTCCTGTGGTAGGCACAGTACATGTTGAAGTCAAGGTGATAGATTGAGCTTTAGTCACATGTGGTATGTCTCTCATGAAACACAAATCTCAAAGGCTCACTAAAAAGACTTACCAGCCACATTCAGAAGTGCTCCCAGTGTAGTCGGCCTAACTGAGCTCAACATGCAGGTAAGTTGTAATTAGTCACTAAGCTGGTTAATTAAGAAGGATATATTTTTTGTCTCCACTTGTTCACTTACAGATTTGTTGTCTATTAAAAACACAGCTATTTCAAAGATTGAAATTATACTGTGTGAGTGCATTAAAAATCTTTCTGCAGAAATATATTACTGTGTTTTGGAGTGTCACTTCTTGGTAACCTTATTATTTATACTGTTTTGCTACCAATTTACTTTTGTGAGCTCTCCTTTCCAAAGACTGTTGACCCAGTACTGATGTATGTAATACTTTCTGTTTATGTATGTGTATTGCAGTCCTCTATCTTACATTATAAAAACAAAGATCCCATTATTCTGAGTTTAGAATAATTTATGTGGAGATTTGGATACCTTATTCTCATTAGAAGTAATGAAATTTGTACAGGGAGAGGTTTGCATAATAGCTCTTTGTACAGATGTTAGCTTTTCCTTCTTGAGATGATGCTGTCTACAAAAGGTTAAAACAGCTGTGTCTGCTGCAGTATTTTAACTCCATGATAACAGCTCTTCTGAATGTTTGAATGAGGCAACTAAGTCTAAGCCTGATATAGTCGTGTGATGCAAAGATTGGTATTCTGTAGTCTCTGTTGGACAACAAAGTTTTGGTAGAAACCCTCAGTTGTCAGACTTGCTTGCTCTCAGGGTATGTTGCACAAGTCTGTCTTAAGCAGCTCTTATCATTTGGTCCACTTAAGTATTATCTGTGCTTCCAGAGCTCCCCATGGCTTTTACTGGAGCATTCAAAAAAAAAAAAAGAATGTACAGTTTGTCTTTACTTCTTTCTTTCTTATAATTTTGAAATGGGTGTTAAATGTGTCATTTGCACTTAACATAATGATCCAGAATCAAAAGTTTCTATGCACGATCAAAGAACTCTTGTAATTTTGCCAGATTATTAAGAGCAAATGAGGAAGTCATCATTGAAATTCCCACGAAAGCCTGCGAGGGTCAAGAAAACTTCATTGCATCTCTGGAGCATGTGCAGCTGGAGGCAACGATTGAGTATTCCCGTAGAGGTGATCTTCATGTCACTCTGGTATCTCCAGCAGGTACAGGAGGCCATTACACACTTTGTTTGTGTTGCTGTGGTGTGTAAAATTTATTTCCTTAAAAACAACCTCCCTGTTTTTCAGTGGTTTAAAAAGAGCTAAATACATCATCACACAAATGTAGTGACCTTCAGTGGGAGAGCATAGTACAAAGCACCCTGGGAACCAGAAAACTGGTTCTCTGAAACCCTTTTTTAGCCTTCATGTGTTCTGGGTTATATCTGTGACAAAAGGTTTGAAAATCAGACTTCAGAAAGTGAAGGCACTCTTTATAATAGGTTTTTGTTTAGCAAAAGGGCCTATAAAAACTGAGAGTTCCTGGAAGACAACAAATTACAGTTCAATAGTGCTTATCAGCCTTACTACAATTAAACAGACTAATGGAAAACTGAGGAAATCTGACTCCCTAGATTTTGTGTAACTGTGTCTTCCCACTGGTGTATTTAATAACATGGTGTCTCTGTCAAGCACCTTTGTATAGCTATACTAAATGTGTTAGAATATGGCAAGCCATCTTGACAATGCCCAGAAGAACAATATGAAGAGAATTAAAAAAAAAGAGAGAATTAGTATGAACAACTTGGTAGAGAGTAAGATCTGTTAGATGAACTGGTGTTAGAAGGAGAAAGACAGGAGTTCATGTATGAATTTAAACATGAGGCTGATCTAATTTACTGAAATTAAAGGCTAATCTAGTAATTCAGAGAAAAACTACTAGAGTCTTCATTTATATTATTACTGTAGGATCTCAGTAGGGAGTAGGGTTAAGATACTCCGCATGCAGTGTATTTCAAAACTCTACCTTGTCTGGGATTCCTTTTAAGCCTAACCTTAATTCTTCCTTTTCTGAGTCTACCTTTTGTCCTACGGGAGCAAGGTCATTGTGAGGTGTTTTACCCTTGACTCTTGGTGGTATTTTCAAGTCTAATTCCATCTTATCTAAGTTTTAGTTTGGGAGTAAATATATACGCTGTCTCTAGGTACCTCATGGAGATGACAGGAATGGTAACTCTTTCTCTATTTTTATAGAGGTATTTCTTTCCCAGAACACTGTTCTGTTGCTAATCTGTAGGAAGCATGGCTTCATCTTAGAAAAACACCTCTTTTTGAAAGACTGATGAGAGTAATATGTTCTTCATCTTTGTATGTGTTTCTAAGAGTTTAGCTGAGATAGTCAAGTGCTGCTGCCTCCACTATAGTATCATGTTTCCTTCATGGTTAAGCTATTTTTCCCTTGGTTCTTGCTGTTCTTTCCCTTTTCTGCAAAACAGTACTACCAAATGTTTGTCATTCCTTCTCTGTATTTCTGGTGTTACCTTTAAATATATTTATAGCTTGTGATCAGGCTCCCTGGGGCTTCTCTGCTTTTTATTATGCAACTATAACTCACTTGCTCTCCTGTTATATGCAGAAAAGCACAAGAAATTTCCTAGTATGCAGCAGGATCTTTTCTGCTGCAGAAATATTCTGTGAACTGCAGCATTTTTGTTATAATAATATCAGTGCATATTCTTTTCGCCATGTTGAAGTCTCAGGCTGTAACTCACACAAAAAAATCCCAACTGTGATAAATTTAGGATAAGGCTTTGGTTTCACAATACAGTGTAAACTGGTTTGCCTTCAGAACTTCTGTCTCACTCACCAGTGGAAAAGGCTGATTGCATCTGACCTCTGTTTCTTATGTTTCTTTATGTGCATCCACTGCTTTTTTCTGTTGGAGATTGAACACTAAGCAAGATGTACTTTTTTAGCATGATCTAATGTGATAGTTTTTATGCTGTTAAATACTGCTGTGAAAATAACTAAAGGAACCACTGATCAGAAGTAACACATTTCCTGTTCCACACGCCATTATGCAATAGTGCATTTTCCAGGTTATCTATGCACTAGATAATGTACAAGCTGAGCAACGTGAAGAGTAAAAGCAGTCACACATGAACAGTCACTAATGTTGATCTTGCACTAATACAGGGACCAGCACTGTCTTACTGGCTGAGAGAGAGAGAGATAGATCTCCCAATGGCTTTAAGAACTGGGACTTCATGTCTGTTCACACATGGGGAGAGAATCCAACAGGCACTTGGGTTCTAAGAATTACTGATATGGTAAGTATGTCTGTATGTTAACTAGCTACGTGAAGCTAACACAGGTAAAAGGATCATTAACCACTCTTCTCATTAAGCAAGCTACAAGAATTCATTCAAACTAAATTTCCATCTGTATTAAAGATGTGGAGCTTTGAGTAAACTTTTTGAACTAATGAATTTCATGCGAAATTCATTAGTCGAAAATGAACCTCAGAGAGGTGTTCTGATGTATACCTTTCCCTAACTTTTTTCTTTGAGTAATTACTGCTGAACAACATTTAAGGATTAAAGACGAGGAATCTACAGATAGGAAATAAATAAGTTTACTAGAACCACCTGGGGATATGGATTACAACAGCAAGACACTGGAATAAAGCTGCTTGATAGGCAACTGAAAAATTGTTCTCTTCAAAGAGAGAGTGATCAAGCACACTCATCTCTGGAGGATTTCACTGAAGTTGTCTGTTAATAAGCTTGTCATTAGGGGTCAGATCCTGCCAGAAACTGAATGCTTCCTAGCAGACACTGAACCTCCAGTCCCTATTAGCCTCAGACTGTAAACAGGAGGATAATGCCAAGTACTAAGCAGATGGGCAAGGCGGTAGAAATAAATATCAGTGTCAACAGTGTGGTGTTATTCCTGCAGGCTTATAGATAACCCCATGGTTACAGATACCCTGCTCTTTGTAATCAATATAGTGCATTTTTTTTAAAGTTTAGAGCATTTTGTTTGCAATTATCTCTCATTTTCAGTTTTCAACTGCGAGTTTTCTGAAACTTATACTAAACCAAGCATTTTGTCCTCAAGATGTCATGTACTCTTTCTTCAGCTTGTAGTGTTTTGTGATTCCTGAAATAAGCAGAAATCACAGATTCCCATCAGCTACTCACAGCTTAGTTATCACTTGAGCTGTGTATGTTAACTTTGGTATAGACTTCTGTTAGGAAAGAAGAGCTTCTGTCTCTGGCTTCAGTCACTAAATGGTAGAGCAAAATTTCTGAAAGAAGCTTTGGTAAAATAAAATTTTAGCAGTCTCTGTACTTGTCTCTTCCATTTTCTACTGCTAAAATACCACTGCCAAACCTAATGGACCTAAAGCTGTCTTTCAGATGTCTTTGTACATCACTGAAGAATATTATTCCAAATTACTGGTCCAGTGGTAACTTTTGCGAGGAAATTGCCAAGGAATGGCCTAGTGAATAAATAGTAATAACACAAAATACTACTTCAGTGATTTTTAGCATTCTGTGTTATAACAAAATTCCATTGATGCTCACACAATTAATTAATAATTACGTTTCATCAAAGTGTGATATTTGGAGTAGTTAAACCATTGGATTAAATCCCACTTTCTGATATATCCTGTCTCTAATGTATCTCTTTTATGCTTATAAATAATTATCTTCATTTAGATACTGAAAGCCTTATAATTTATTTTAGTCACTTCTGGCTACTTTACAATCAAATGTCCTGTTTCCTCTTCTTATGTCCTGAGAACCTATGCTAATGCCATGCATGTCTTTTAGTCCAGAAGAATAGAAAATGAAGGAAGGATTGTAAACTGGAAATTGATTTTGCATGGCACTGCTACACAGCCTGAACATATGAAGCAGCCACGTACATACACATCTTACAATGCTGTGCAAAACGACAGAAGAGGAGTGGAGAAGATGACAGATTTTGTAGAGGTAGTGTTCAGTTAGGTTTTTTTCCCTATCTATTTTATGATTTATAAGAAAATGGTATTTTTTTGCTAGTAGGAAGATATGTACCCATTCTGTGTTTATGTCATCTAGCCCCTAACCACTTTTGAGTTTTGTATTGTAATTTTGTCCATGTCCACAATTGATATATTTATTAGTCTCTGTTTTCATATGCCAATATATAAGGGTTTTAGGATAGTAAGAGATTATTGTTACTAAAGCAAGAGGATATTGTTACTAAAGCAGTAAACTCAATAGCTAATGCAGTTGAGTGGTACAAGGAGGAGGAAGACACCTTGGGCAGACACACTAAATTTATGTAATTCTAGTAAGAACAAGAGTCACATCCAAAAGGAGCTTTGCCTGCTGGAGTTCTCCCAGGAAGTTAGTAACAGAAAACATGACAGAAGTCAGGGATTCACTGATTCAGAAGGTTTGCTTAAATGGACGTGTTGCTGCTAGTTCCTTTGTCATTCTTGCTTTACGTATCAGGTAGAGTGCTCTAAACAAACTCCAGGCTTCTGAGAGTGACAGTTTGTTTCTAGATACATAGGGTGGTAGTATTGTACATTTTCACAACACTTGATTATGTCAACATCTTTAGAATACTTAATTAATCACATAATCACAATAATGTCCATAAAGTGTAGAGGGGTTAACCTTCCTTAGCTGGGTTTGAAGGAAAAGATTGAGGGAGACATGATTATGATCTTTAAACACATTAGATAAGTGTCTGCAGGTGTAGCAGCCATGTACATGAAAATAAATTGGGAGAAATATGTCAGTATGGGAGGCATAATAGACACTGTTGAAACAAGGTTATGCCTCTCACCAACTTCTCTGTGCATCTGTATCTGGCATTAGTCTTCCAGGATTTCCATGATACATGTCATGGACAACTTTTAGCCATATTTCACCATCTTTTCTCAGGTGAGATTACCTGCAGAGAATGTTATATGGAAGCACAACAGTATGTGACACAGTCAGAGCTGCCATCACTACTGTGTAAGCTTCCTTCAGTTACACTGCTGAGGAGCTGTCTCCCATAGTACAAACAGAAGTATCTCTTAAGATTGGGGCAATCCTACTATAAAATGATGTGTTGTAACCTGCCAATGTGGAATCTGAATTTATAACTTCCTACGTTGGATGTGTGGTGGAGGGATTTGATAGTTTACAGAATATAGTGCTTTGATAGTCTCCTTTTGTGTACAGTTGTCTAGTTCTTTTCTAGATGCTAAGTGGCTCCTGAATGAAAATACAGCATCTACCCACACATCGATAGAAATAGATAACCAGAGCAAATCTGAATCCAGTTGGTTTTCTCTGTCACCTAACTTTTTTATGCTAATATGTATTCTAGGACCATACCACACAAGAGAACCTGCGTGAAAAACCCAATATCACAGAAAATACCAGTAGTAGCAGTGACAAAGCAGAAGATAAAATCCCATCAGAGGCTATGCTACATTTACTGCGAAGTGCTTTTAGCAGACAGATGGCTCAGAAGCGACTGCCAGAGAAGACTGCAAGTGAGAAGTTAAACATTCCGTATGAGCACTTCTATCAAGCCCTTGAAAAATTAAACAAGCCCTCCCAGATGAGAGACTCAGAAGAAAGTCTGTACAGTGACTACGTTGATATCTTTTACAATGCCAAACCATACAAGCATAGAGATGATAGACTGCTGCAGGCCTTGATTGATATTATAAATGAAGGAAACTAAACTATAGAGTCTGTCACTGAGTTGGATATATTCATTCTCCCCACTTCACTTGTAGGCTTTTTTCAGAAGTCTGTTGTATGCTCTAGTTGTGTGATTGCTGCTTTGATTGCTTCATATTTAATACAAATATCAAAGAAGAAAAAAAAAGTGTGTGGGAGTATAAGCCAGTAAACTGATGCTTTTTAGTAATTAATTTTTTCAAAGCCTTTCTTCATTACCATCAAGAGTAGATTTGCCCCTTCAGGTATGAAATCCAGGAGTATTCCCCTGAAAAATCAAATGCTTTATTTTAAGCAATTTTAACGTTACTTATTCTTCTACCCTATTCAAAACTTGAATTATGAAGCAGTTCGGAAGCAAACTACCAGAGCTATGGGGAGGTACTCTCATCCCTGGATTTTTAATGAATACTGAAGTCTTACATTTGGAATTTATCACCGTTTTAACATGTGTAGCCAGTACTGCTTCCGTCATGGGTTTTATGTTCCTTCTCCAAACAATAGTGCTCCCTTAACCTTCTATTCTCCCATAAAGGAGCAACTCAGAGGCTGGAGTTGGACTGGAGCATCAGTGGACACTGATGAAGTTATTCACAATTTAGAATACAGACAGACACTAGCATAAAATATCCCCAAATGAGGATGGCCTTCTCGCCACCTAACGTTAATTACCTAAGTGAAGTGCCTGTATTATGAGCCTAGTCGTTCTAGGCTGTATTTAATGAGGGCAGAGGCTCCTATAGTTAGCACTTCAAAGCACTTGGATAGTCTTTGTGCTGTTTTTAACTATCTGGATGGTGTACTGATCTTTTTGTATCAACTGTATGAGCTTTGGAGACCAACCACCTACCTATGGAGCCTCAGTCAGATTTTTAACATTAAGTAATATAAACGAGATGCCTATGTCTGCAGTAGTTAGGACAACAAAGCTGGGATCTCTTTGACCTTTGAACTGCAGCTGAGGTGGAATAGAAAGGGTAACTGTGCCAGCAGATCCCACTTAAAGACTGGATCTTGGAGTGTCTGGGATGGATTGTAACATTTCATAAGTATCTAGGAAGGGGGGGAGAGGTATGAGATACAAAAAACACTCCAAGAATGGAGTCAGAAATTTTCCACACAAAACTCTCTAAAGTTAGTCAAGGCTGACATATTATTTTGCTTTTCATAATTAAAATAATGCTGTGTTGGATGCTCAGAAATTAACGGGGATCTAGAACAAGGAAATGGAGATTCCCAGGGGATATTTTTCTCATTGCAGTGCCTAAGATAATCCAAACAAGTGCTGAATGATTTTTACTTTATTTTCTCTCTCATCTACTACTGAAATGTGTTTTCCAGACACTCTAGAATATTTGATTCTCCTTCACTGTCTACTCTTTAAAAGATGATGCAAGTGTCTCTAAGTCAGGAATTTAGCTTTTTGCTCACAATTCATCAGTTTGGATAGTGATTTTTCATACTTCACAGTAAATTCTGTAATTCAAAGGCAAATCTATTTATTGTAACAATATTTAGGTCATCTTCTGTGGAAGAAGGGACTGCTCTAAAGACAGTCTAAAGACAATTTTGAGAATTGTCTTTCCAAACTGGAGATCTAAAAATCTCTGCTTATTCATTCTTTGTGATAGTTTCATGCCTGTCATGGGCTTAGTGTGCTTTATTGCCAGCTTTAGATAGATTTAGCTTAGTTGATTTAATAACTCTTCCATGTTTATTGTCCATACTTCAAGGATAACAGCTCCACAATTCTGATACTTAATCATTCCCTCTCTACTAAAAAAATTTGCTTAGAATGAGAAGTCATTAAAAAAATCCCCACAAGTGGTCCAGGTCAGAAAGCTTTCTTCTGCTGTCCCTTACATGTACAAGCTTTCTGGCACTTTATAACTACTAAACAAGCGAACCCATAAAAATTTATAATTGCTGCCATTGCAGAGTGAGGGCACTAACTTATTTCCACTAATGTTTCATTTTCAGAACTAGGAGTTTCTCTCCATGGTAAATATTCAAATCTGGAGATGCAGGACCACTTTTAGTCCTGTGCATTGAAACTCAGAGGCTGGTTCCCTCAGATAACAGTGATTGTAATCAATCTTTGTTAAGGTATGTTACAGCAAGGAGAGTACTAGCGACACTGAATCATGCCTTGGAAGAGGTTTTCAGATAAAATGGGTGGAAAACATAAGACCTTCCGTTCTTTTAAGATTAGTTCCTACGTTGTAGCCAAAGTTTCATCAGAGGACAAGTTTAAAATCTCTTGAATGTTTCCAACACAGAGTAGATTGTAAAGGAGTAAATTATTTTTATTGTTAGTCTTTCCTTGGTGCCTGTGTGGGTTTTGTGAAAAATGTAAAAGGAAAAAAAAAAGTTTTCTCTCAGAATTTTAAATTATATTTTCGTTACAGGTATTTATAATATAGCAAAGATTTTATTGAACAGACAGAATTTTAAAAGGCATAATAAATTATATTGAAGAACCAGATTTTTCTTGGGAAAGAGACAATTTCATCCAATAAAGATATTTTTTAAAAGGCATGTTCCAATGGCAACTGTAACATGTATGTAATGTGATGTTAGATTTGTCTACCAGTGACTTAATACAGTGTGTTAGCAGAGCTCAGTGTGTGGTCTTAACATTTTTAAAGAAACAATAAGCTAAAGTCAAGCTATTGACTTAAAAGGACTGGGAAATACTGTTTAGAAATAAAAATAATGGCTTGAAGAAATAACCTGGGATTGGGTGGAGAAAGTGTGTGATTTATTGAATATGAATGGCAGAGGATTTCTTCACCAGGAACAGTGGAGTGCTTACTCTTCACAACTGCAGCCAAAGTAAGATTTGCTGCAGATCTCTGTGACACAAAATCTGTAATTAAGATTCTGTGGCTCTTAATTACAAAATTCTGCCTTTTTCACATACAGGTGTGTGTGTCAGAAGCACTATAAGAAAATAATGCAGCAGAATGATACAGGGGCTTAGCATTAAATATGACAACCATTGCTTCTTGCATCAAAGCAGGAGCAGTGAAAATATTTGTTGTTCCTCTCCACCACCCACTGCTTGCATTTCAAACCAGTAGAGAAACAAGACCTTATATACCATTACGTACTGGAAATAATTGTGGAGAACTGCCTTGTAGTATACCTATGTGCTGGCCTGTACCAAGGAGTGGGCTCTGTGGGGACCATGTGTCCATGCACACAATTTGGGGTGTTCCATGGGCTCTAACCTGCACTCATGTACAGACGTAACTGGAAAATGAAACCTCATTCTCCCACTGTTAAGCTGAAAGGACCTCCAGAGCAAATACTGCAGAGATGAATGAGTCTGCTTTCCAAGGCTTTAACATCTCGAGGACTTATGGATCATGCATCTATTCAGTTTGCTTCTGAAATCTCAACTAACTACTGCTCAATTACCAAAATCCTGCTTTGTCATGTGCTGTAAGGATAGTTAAAACATTTTCTGTGCTTTCAATAAGCTACATTTCTATAGCAGAAATCCTTTTAGTAAATGTAAAAATAGATTTCTGCAATAGCATTGTAAAAAATAAATCTAAACATTTGAGCAATATTAGCTGGCTTTCACACTGAACAATGGGTTTTCTCTTAAGTTGGCTGGGCTTTTAACGCCACAGCTCTTCTGAGTTACCCATGCAGAGTTTTTGATCAGTCATGTCTTCTACCTCCAAACTTGGAGTGTATTTTTCAAAAGAAGCATCCTTTTACCTCCCTCAGAGCCACTTTTGAAATTTGAAAACAATCACAAGCATTTTCTGTAAGATAGGTATTTTAAGAGAGAAGAAGGGGCTTTAAAAATAGATTTTAGAATCATCTCAGTATCAGAAGTTAAGAGAGGATGTAGTCTGTTCATTCAGAGAACCCTTTATGGGAAGGGGAAATGTTGTTTATGAGCTCGTAGCATGTCTTAGGTGCAGATCACACCATGGAGGTGACAGCCATGCTTAACAGCACATGCATCAGCACAACAGCAGGAACAGTGCTGTCTCTGAGAGGCTCCTTCTGCAACAACAAACCAACCTCCACCACTGCAGACATTGCAAGCACAAGGAAAGTTGCCTCCTGAAGTAGTTCAGCTCTGAAAAAAAAACAAACAAAAAAGTTTAAAAATTACAGGGAAAAAAAATGGTCATTATGCAGCACCACTTTTGTGTTTATGCAGACACAGAGCACCTGTGCAGCCTAAAGCCTTTCTGTTTGATGTTGTTTGATGTCTTTCCTTTCAGAAAGCTTCAGGAAGCTCCTTTCCAGAGTTCCTAGGAACCATGTCCTTCACAGCAACACTGTAGAAAATGACAAATCCAGAAATGAGCATTTTGTTCTGAATCAATTACATGGCCAGCTAATATTTCTGACTGCAAATGTATATTCTGACTGCAGCTAATTTTTCTGACTACAAACTACAAAGGCTAAACTCCAACACTGCTACGCAACTAATAGAGATGATTTCTGTAAACATTTTTCTATTTAATTGCACAAGTATTCATTAAAAATATTGCTTCTCTTACTGCAATTTATCAGGAAAATGTAACCATAGAATGAGAATTTTTGATTCCAGCAACACAGTAAATGCCCCCTGGAAAAAAATAGGTCAGATATGTTCCAAGTTCCACTAAGATACCAGGGAAAAATAAATAGATAATATGTGAGTATGGGTAGTTATCAGGAAAATGTATCTTAATGGTTATATAATTTCAGCTATTTGACTACCTCCAATCAAATATAGCTGAGCATATATCTCTTTATTTCTGGTGTTGTATGCTTTCCCTAAAACAGCTGAATTGGTTGCTGTTACATGTACCATTTTGTTTGACTATGCCCACATTATTATTTGGTGTTTCAAATCATAAACACGCATCATAAAGCAATGCCATATATTCTGATAAGGAAATGCACTTAGAACTGAGGACGTGCAGCTTTGCATATGCCAGTGCACAAACAGTTCACGTGGAAAAAGACCTAACGTAAAGGTTAGACAAAGAGGGAAGACATATGCGAGCTCCATTAGGCCTATTGAATTAGTCCTGTTCTTCAATATAGCTATGTGTCCTGGGTTTAGCAGCAGCAGTCATTTTTCTCTTTCTTGGTAGCTGGTGCAGTGCTGTGTTTTGACTTTCAGCTGGGAACAGAGCTGAAAAACAATGATGTTTTGGTTTGGCCAAGGACTTTGTGGGCCTCATGCTCTGCCAGGGAGGAGGGAAGCTGGGAGGAAGCAGAGACAGGAAGGACACCTGACCCAAACTGACCAAAGATGTATTCCATACCACAGCACGTCATGCCCAGGATGTAACTGGGGAGGGACCCGGAAGGGGCTAGAGTGGACTGCAGGGTTGGAGGAGGTATCGGTCGGTGCTTCGTCGGGCTGGGGGGAGCAAGTTATCGGTCACCTGGTGATGGGGTGTTGTATTCTCTTCCCTTGTTATTTCCTTTATCATTACTATTATTGGTGGCAGCAGTAGTGATTTGTGTTATACCTTAGTTACTAAACTGTTCTTATCTCAACCCGTGGGAGTTGCATTCTTTTTGATTCTCCTCTCCGTCCCTCCGAGAATAGGGGAGGGTAGGAAGGGGGGGGAGTGAGTGAGTGAAAGCTGTCTGGCATTGGTTAAACCACGACACTATGGTATGATGCGGAGCATCCCTGACATCCAAGAAGCCAAGGCACCATTCAGTACCACAGTTCAGTAGTGAAATCAATCATCTTCATGCTAATTCACAGTTTGTAAGGGATGTATTAAAACCTGAAAATTTAGAAGAAGCACGTAGATATGAGTTTCTCCTCTTTCATTTTGCATTCCAATTACCCTGCTTTAGAGGGATGCTTGAATGAAGTTTTCCTGAAATCCCAGGTTGGATGGGGCTTGAAGCAACCTGGGCTAGTGGAAGGTGTCCCTGCCCATGGCAGGGGGTTGGAACTGGATGAGCTTTAAGGTCCCTTCAAAGTAAGTAAAACTCAAAGTATTTTAGGATTCTATGAAAATAGCTGTAGCACTTAAACCGCTGCTTAAGCTGTGAGTTACACCAGGCTGTC